AGAGAGAGAGAGAGAGAGAGAGAGAGAGAGAGAGAGAGAGAGAGAGAGAGGGAGAGGAAGTCTCAAAAGTTGAAATATCAAAAAAGTATTATACAAGAGTGAAGGAGTGAAGATTAATTGAATGAATGAATCAACAGGAAAGAAGGAATGAATGATTGAATTAATGAATGAATAGACAAATATATAGAGGAGTAGGAATTGGTTTAAGGTATTTGGTTAGGCTTTAAAATTCTGTTTAAAAACATTTTCTGATAGAATAATGAATGAATGATTAAATGATTGAATGAATGAACGAATCAACGACAATTGGAGGAATGAATGAATGAATGAATGAATGAATGAATGGATGAATGAATGAATGACCAACAAACAAACAAACAAACAAACAAACAAACAAACAAACAAACAAACAAACAAACAAACAAACAAACAAACTAATGAATGAATGAAAGAACTAACGAAAGAAAAAATGAAAGAAGAAATGGATGATGATGACTATGAACATTTCTGATTAATAGATGTTAATGTATGTTTCATATTAGGTATGTTATTTATGCCTGTTGTTTGTTTGTCCATCAGCCTATCTTTCTGTATGTATGTATGTATATGTGTGTTTGTGTGTGTGTATGTATTAATGCATGTTTGTGTGTGTGTGTGTGCGTGTGTGAATGCGTGTGTGTATGTTGGTTTGTATTTATATTGGGATGTATAATGTACAAATGTAGGTATTCAGGTCAATGGATATAGCAAGTTTAAGTGTGTGATACTGAATTGTACATGGAATGATAAATTTTTGTTGTAAATTCTCTCTCTCTTTCTCTGTCTCTCTCTTCCCTCTTTCTCTTCCCTTCTCTTTCTCTCTCTATCTCTCTCTATTCCTCTCTTCATATAAGTTTTTTTTATATCAGTTCATCAGATTTTAAGTTCATTTTCTGAAGAAGGTATGTTAATGGATGATGTAAATGTGAATGAATGAACGAACGAACGAATGTATAAATGAACGAACGAACGAATAAATGAATGAATGAATGATGGAGTGAATTAATGAAAAATGAATGAAAGAATGAATTAATGGTTGGTTCTGTGGTAGACACTGTTCCTATAATTTCCTTATCTCAAATGCTAATCATAACTTAATAGAGATTTTTTCATGTTGTTTATTTCATGTTTGCATACGTACAAACGAACATACATACATGCATACATACATACAAACAAACAAACAAACATACATACGAACATACATACATACAAATATATATACATACATACAATTTTACATACATACATACAAACAAACATATATACATACATACATACGTACATACATACAAACAAATATACAAACATACATACATACAAGCAAATATACAGACAACATACAAACATACACACACAGTTGCATGTATATAAAAATTAAATGCATGCAAGCCAAGTTTTGTAAGCAGTTTTGAAATGTTATAGATGTAAGGTGCATAAAAAATTGAAAGATAGATAGATGGATGGATGGATGGATGAATAAATGAACGATTGAATGCATGATTGAATGATTGATTTGTTAGTTGAGTGAATGAATGAATGAATGAATGAATGAATGAATGAATGAATGAATGAATTAATTAATGGATGATTGATTGGTGGAATAATAAAATAGATGTCTGATTGGGTGAAAGTATGAAATAATTGCTGGGCAAACGAATGAGTTAAAGCTGAACCTGCTAATGTATCGTCATCACTATCATCATCACCATCGTTATCTTCATCATCGCCACCATCGTCATCTTCATCATCGTCGTCATCATCACGACAACTAGCTCTAGTAGATCTTTCTAATGATAGCTAGAACTCTCAAAAAGCAAGAAATTCTTTTTTAAGCACTCATTAATGAGATTTAATAACAACAATAATCGCAATA